CGCCGAAGGAAGTTTCTTAATTTAATCGCTGTATTTTTTAAAAGTTTGCTTTTCAAGCGACCGCTCCGCTCGCGTCCAAAGTGCCGACATTGCTGTGTTAACCCGTCGTTCTTTCCGTCGGCATTTTTATGAAGATTATATGATCAATTAGCAATTATGTTTGACGCACCAAGGGAAAATACTTTCTCGTAAATAAACAAATAAATCTTATCCATTTCCTATGCAGTATTATCACAACGAATGAAAATGCATTAATAACTAACAGACAGTAACTAACTGGATGAGCGTTCAGGAAAGCTGCATACGTTTCTACCAGGACGAGACCGTGTGAATCGTGATTCATGATAGCCAATTAAACCAATCTTATCGCACACAGTGATGCCTCTCTATTTATATCAAGGACTATACACTCTGAACCGTCGATCTCAACCGATTAAATTCCATTTGCGCTCGACTTCATCTCCGACCGCGAGAGCGATGCGTACGGCAGGCGAATTATGTTTCTATTCGTTTCCGGCAATTAAAGTCGTGGTTAATCGTTGAAATTAACAATCGTTGAAATTAACAGCGAACGACCCTCCGTCTCTCTCGCTCCCTGCCGTAGCCGAATGAAAGGAGGTCGCAGGACGCTGCTGATTACACTTCGGCGACAGGGCAATACCTTAACCCCCCGTCGGAGTTTAAATTCCCTCCCACCTTCGCTCGGTGGGCTGGTGAGGGGCCGAAACGGGCGCGTTTGCAATTTAACGGAATCTCTGCATATAGAGTGGGTTCATCGTGGCGTGCAGGGTCCGCGCTTTAAATGACGTCCCGGAAGTCCCCGCGCTAATTCTACGGGTCCTCGGACCGTGTATACGGCCGGTGTTCCTCCTCCCCCCCTCCCTGTCGACCCACCACGGCTGCCCTTCGCAGGGTTGCTTTATGCCGCGACCGCTCGTTATAATTGCGGACCGCGACGCGAGGGAGGTCGAAAGTAAAAGCGGGAGAGAGAGAGAGAGGGGGAGGGGGGAGTGAAGTAAGAGCGTTTTGCTAAACGGCCGAGGAACGTTCGCAACGACGGGGACAATGTGAGGGGGTGAATTCGCGATATAATACCGCCATTTGCAAATCGTTGATATTTATTTATCTGTATCTCGTAATATCTGGATAAATAATTCGTTGTATAACGAGGATATATTCCCGTCAAACGAACGAACGAGCGAGCGGCGAGTAATGTTCGCGCAACGACACCGACACGCGATATCGGCTGTCGTTATGCTACACGCAGTATCGTTAATTCATTGGTATTTATTTCGGCAGTAATACCGCTAAATAAATAATTCGCCGTAACTGGAGCGTCCGGCCGATAACGTTTCCGCCGATAGAAGATACGCGCGATATCGATCGCGTTTATTTCAGCGTATTTGTTTCATATCAGCGCGCGCGCGTCCGCGAGCGAGCGTGTAGATCAATTTACAGAGCCGGTCGGATCACTTTGTGCATGTGCACACGCGGCTGAGCGATCTAATAAAACAGATAGGCGGTTTCGAAAAACTTCGCCTCCACTTCGCGACGAATTGGAACACAGTTGTGCAAGAAGAGTCCAACAAACGCATAAAATTAGAATTTCTGAAATTTCCCTACCAATGTTACCAAATTGATATTTAATAACGCATAGTTATGAAAGATATATATTACATATTCCGAATCCACTTTTCATAATGATGTAATAATTTAAAGTATGAGATTTAGCGAGTGAACATTAGCGAAATACAGCACAACATGATATATTTCACTAATATTCCGAACTAACGATTTATATTGTTGTTAAATCCTGTATCATGTGTTAATAATCGTATTGTGTATTATTAAATGTTAGAACAACTCTAATATGTCGTTACTTTTTATTCGTTGCGTCTTTTTTATCCCTTTTTTTAAGGATTAAGTTTGTCAATAAATATCCTTAAAGATAAGAAAATGGACCATACTTCTTGAAGGATCGTAAAGAACCTCCGTGCTATTTGTACTTTTTAAATCGTATATCAAATCTTTATCTTCATTTTTCTCGATACGTACTCCATGTGGATTGGAATCTTCTTACATAACTATAATCAATTATAGACGTATTCCCGCGACCTCTAATTTGCATCTTGCTTGTGACGAGACCGCTCCGAAGACGGCGCGGAAGTTGACACGGTGAGTAAGAACGCGGCAGAAGAAAAGCTCGATTATTTAATCGATCGCGAACGATCGTCGTGCTCGTCCGCGACAAGTGGATTTTACGAGCCGTTCGATTCGTTGGAGCGGCGTTTGTTCAGCACGACAGGACGTTAATGTTTATTAAAGCACCGCCGCCGCCATCGACCCCTCCTTCTTCTCCTCCTCTCGAATGATTTATCATCGCGGAGATTTTTCGCGAACGACGCGCGCCTCGAAAGTCACTGAATATCAATTATAATCCACACGAGGCGGCTGTAAATCCTCGTCGAGGGACGTTGGGAATAGATTAATAATCGCTCGCCGCGCGGCGACATTTATCTCTTAATGCGCGAGTCTCGGCTTTTAAATCTCGAATATTTTTCCAATAATTTATTTGAAAAGAGAAAAGAGAGAAAATCAGAATCCGCGCGGCAAAAAACGTTTTCCGTTTACCTGACAATAAGCAAACAGAAAGAAACAGGATTTCTGGTTATAAGAGCCGAATTTGCATAGGGAAATTCAGAAGTTCCGTTACGGCCAAAACGCGTTTGGTTCGTTCATTGTCAGGTAAATTCGACCAAACTTCTTTCCACGCGAATATTAAATTTGCGAACGCCCGTCTAGTAGCGCGCAAATCTCGACTTTTGAATGTCGGAAATTTATCCGGCAAACCTTCTCTTAAAAATGCCAAAAAAAAAAAAGAGAAAAATAGAATCCGTATGTCAAATTTGTGCGAAATTCAAGCGCGATCGTTCTCGAGAACGCCATTTCTGACGGGCGCAATTTTCCCGAGCCCCGGAGCGTGTGCTCCCGAGCGCGAGCTCCAAACGTGAATTTAAAAAGCGAGAGCCGAACCCTTCCTCTTCGAGGACGAGCCGTTCGTGGCAAACAATGGCTGCAACCGTAGTCAACGGCGGTAGCCGAAGGGCTCGAGAAGGGTGAATTGCGGCTACGTGCCTCCGCATACGAATCCTTGCCGGCGTGTGCGAAGCGAAATCAGACGCCCGCCACCCCCTTCGCCTTGAATCTAATAGATCGCGCCCAATACTTATGGTCAAATCGCGACCAACAACCCCCAGGGACCGAGGGGGGTTGCGCTCATTACCATTCCGTCCCGACGCCGGCCGCAATAACCGTCGCTGATAATCAGAAATGCCTTACGAAGGATGTAAATCAATTCGGGGGTGGCGCGGCGCGACGCGGCGGACCCGAAGCGGTTGATTGTGCGCGTTTGTTCGAGCGAGTCGCGATGGATTCCGCTCGATGTCGATTTCGCTGCTTTCGGAACTCTTGAGACTTGTTTCCAATTTGGACGATCGCGCTTTTACCCGAAGCTCGTTCTCTCTCATTCTTCGGAATTACTAACGGCGGAGGAGCGTATTCTCAACATTTTTCGCAAGACAATATATATATACGCGGAAATTCGAATTTAGCCTCTTCAGGATTGAATTTAAAATCGGGAGAAATCGATTCAATTTTAGAATGGTATACACAGTAAAGAATTTCGCGTTAAATTTAAACGCATTTCGTAAAGACGTCTTTTAGACATACGCGTAGTTTGAGTTGGTAATTGTTGCCAAATCTTTTTTCAATGTACTTGTTTCATTCTAAGCACAAGAAGTGCAATCTAGTTCAGTTAAAAAGAGCGGATCTAATGTTTTCGTCCAACGCGCGTGTCCCGATTTAAATAGTCTCGGGCTAAGGACCATTGGATATCCTCCGACCGATATTATCATGCGGTAACTCTGGAAGATAAGGGACTCGATGAGGGACTTGGTAAGGGACTGGTGGGGTAAGTCCCTTACCGCCTCCGTGCTGGAGTCTTGCCTTCGAGACATCCCGGCTAATCATACCACGGGTAATCCTTTCCCCGATAAAAATTATCTCCACACGTGTAAATGAACTTTAAGCCGAGCCGTCTCACGGCCCTTCCAAGGTTGCCAGCCGGCGGCTCGATATCTCAGCCGACGAACCGCAAGCAGACAAGAATCGACCGGACCGACAAGGTTTCTCGCTTTCGGGAATCCGACTCTCCGACGTCGCCTCGCGCCAGTAATCTCCCAAGTATACGCGGAGAGTGTGATCTCTCCTTGAAGTTTAAGCCCCTGTTAAGGCAGCTTAAAACTCAGGTAACGGGAATTACGGGATATGTACCGCCGAAAGTTACGGACGGGCGGACTTTGGAATTGCGTCGCTCATCGGACAGTTAATTGGAAATCGGTGTAATGGCGGCTGCAATCGATACCCGGTCGCAGGCACCATGATTGCGCCTTACGACGTCTATTCTTTTCGCATTACGGGCAAAATCGCCACGTTCGATTATATTCGCGTGACGCAGTTCCTCGGACACTCACCTGCAATCAGAGGTAGACGTGACTTCTTAATCGTGAGAATTACTTGGGGATTAGGAGAGAAGTGCGTATCTAGAAATAAAATAGAAAGGAAAGGGATAAAATAGAAACAGGAAACTAATTTAACACCTTATCAGAGCAGGATATAGATTGGGAAAGGATGCAGTCTCATTTTCTACATTGAGAGAAATCCCATTAAAATTATAGTCATTTTCGGTTTCAATTGTATCTTCTTCTGATTTTAACCTAGCAAATAGTAACAATGTGCGCGCGTGAAAAATATAGTTAAAATAAAAAAAGAAGTACATTTGGAGCCGAAAATAGCTATAATTTTCTATCAGTGCGTCTAGAGGCATGAGACTGCATTAATAGGGTCATCTATATTTAGGCGGATATTCGCGCACGAATAACTCGGCGTATCCCCGATGTTCCGAGCTTCACTCAACGTTTCCTTCCCCGTTGTTGTTGCAGGAGAGCCTCGAGGAGCGGGTGCAGGAGTTGGAGCAAGCGTTGCTGGCGGAGCGTCTCGCAGCTCAACGGGATCGCGCGACGATCACGAAGCTGCAGCGGCAAATTAACAAGGTGAGTTTACGGCGATACTTCCAGCGGGCCGAGATAAACTCGTCCCGGGAAAGCGAGAAGTCCCGATGAGAATCGCAAGGAGGACTTGGTGGATTTTTATTACCACACCGGGATGCGAGGAAGCATCGAACGCTGCTCCGCATGCCTGAAATTTCGCCCTGTCTCCCTCACTATCGTCGTCCTCATCGTCGTCTTTCCGTATCGGAGAAGAAGCTAAAGCCGGTGAAATACGTTCTTCCATCGGGAGCCGGAGAGCGAATCGCGGCGGCCGCCAACTCGATCGACCGGCGGACGGTAGTTCCATCCGGTCGGTGAAGCACCTGAAAACTATGGTCTCCGTCTCGCGCGTACTCGTCGATCCGTTAACTCGCTTCTCTTCGAACCGGGAGAACAAGAGAGAGCTCGTTATTGCGAGAGGATGGCCCAAGTGCCGCGCTGGTCGATCCGGAGCAGACCTTGCACGCGCGGCTGGCTGGTAGCATTCGGCGCCGTTCGCCCTATCAGATAACGGCGACCCTCGTAAAGCAGACTCCGCGGCCTGCAGAAACCCTGGTCTTCGAGATAGACAGTGGGAAGGAGACAGAGAAAGCGAGAGATAGATGGGTGGTGGAGCGAGAGAGCGTCTCCCGTAATCACGTTTCGCCTCCTCTCGCGCGCGCTTTATTCGCGTTATGTCACTCGCAGCGGAGCGCTATCCTAACCCCGGCGCCGGTGGCCGCCGTCTACTGATTTATCCCGCGACACCAGGTCGGATCGCTCGATACCGGCCGGGCGATACACGGAGGATGCTTGTCGGCGAATCGCGAATGTGACGAGAATGCGAAACGGTTGCTCGCGACTCGATCAAAATTCCATCGTCTTCCGGTCGCGATATCCGTTTAGGCGGAGTGAAGAATTATGTGTGTATATACTGAGAAAAAATGTTTGATATTTGTGACTATAATCGCACAAATGGAAAAAATTGTTGTCAGAATAGGCATTTTTTTTTTAGTGTTATTCTATATATAGTTATAATATTTTAGATACATAATGCTACTATCATTTTTGAGGTTAAAACCAGAAGGGGATATAGTCGAGGTCGAAAATGTGATTGATTGCGTATTTATAATTTTGATAGGATTTTTCTCACTCTAAATTTTTTCGAGAAAAATTCCGCTTGAAAAGCGGAGTCACAGCCGAGTCAAATGATTCGTACAGAGTAAACCCGACTCAAAACCTTGGCCCTGTGTTAAATCTTTAAGATTCGGCTACCCCTGGGGCGGCCATATTGTTTTATGACGGCAGGAGCGAGAAGTGACATACAGAAAGTTTCCGTTACAATCAGAAACGGAAGGAGGAGCGTCTGGAAACGCCGTCTCGCTGCCGTAAGACGGACGCTTTCGATAGGATCAGAATGATACAGAGATGGTGGTGCGTTCCTGTGAGATGCGCTCTTTTCGTCCCTCTCTCAAGCCTATAAAGTATTTCACGGCGACAGAAACAACCCTCGTCCCCGCTCGCCGGTCGCCGCCTTTGTAATCTCGCGTGATTCATGCTCTTTTCGCGAGTCTTCTCGAATTATTTATCGCGCATCACACGCACCGTTGCTAAGTCGGAGTCGAAGCAGAGATCAAAGCCGAACGACTCACCCCCGTCAATTCTCCTCAAATTATCCCCGCCGCCCTTTCAGGGTCACGGACGACCGCGAGGCCGCGTCTGTAACGCCGCACGCGCACAGTTTTCCGCAATCCTTCGCCGTCCTTTGTGTCGCACACCGAGAGAAATCCTATCAAAATTGTAATTACCTTTGGCCTCAACTATCCGCAGAGAAGATTTCTTGGGATTTAATTGGGATCCAGTCCGATTTCCTAAAAGAATACGGGATTCTAATTGGGAAATCTATGCGAAATTATTACTACGCGAAACATGATCTTATCAACCCCAACGTTTTCCCCGAGATTTTTTCTAGTTTCCATTTCACGTTACGACCGAACAAAATATACCAAATACTTTAAATATTTATATTTTAAAAGTGCACACATACACACACACACACACACACACACATGTTACGTGGCGCGTTCTCTATTCAGCACAGTAACATTAAAATATAACCCTGTTTATTAATCTTCTAATTTGATATTCGGTCAGACTGTTATTCGGCATTAATTACTAACGCTTATTAGAAAAATTGTGATCTAATACTTTCACTTATGCGATTATAGTTACAGGTACCGACACATTTTTCCCCAGTGCCTACATGCGCGAGAAATGTACGTACCGGAGACCGCGTGTAACTGAATAATAAATACACGCGGCGTTATGTGCGTTCGATGAGACGGGCGATGTGCACGAGAGGGGGGAGGGGAGAATCGCAATTTCGGCGGGCGCAGTTTTTAATTATAATTCCTCCCGTACGGTTATCGCGCTAAGCGGAGGACGCCCGTTACAAATTGCATTTAAATTACAGCACCGACGAATTTATCAAGGGAAGGGGAGGTGGACGCGCCGGAATCAGCGAGAACCGATGTCGCGCTCGCGTAAAGAAATTTGTTGCGTCACGCCCCGCGCCAGACGCGACATCCCCTCGTAACGTGCGAGCAACGATACGATAATCGATCGTCGATTGATCGTCGGACACTTTCTTCGCTGCACTGCGCGAAACATGCCGGCTACGGTGATACTTTTGGGATCGTGGGAACTGCTGTAAGATGCCGGAGGGCAGATAAAATTAATTACGTTGCCTGAAGAAGGACGGGCTTTCTTTCTCTGTCTCTTTCCCTCTCTTTCCCTTCACTTTTTTTTATTTGCTTCCCGGAACACGAGAGCTAATTATTCAACGAGTAAATGTATATATATATATATATATATATAAAGTAATCCGGAGCAGGACACCACGTCGGCATTTCCACAAATCCACTTAATACTTTTCCAGTCACGAACGTTGTCGCGCGACGTGGTGTGTAAAGCCGCGATAAATTTCAGCCGTCGCTGCCGCTGGATTAGATCTACCTAATTTCTCCGCCGAAATTAAGCGCGGCGATCCGGGAATTAGGGAAATCAGCCCGCCGATCTCGCAGGATCGAATGCATCGCGAGACACATGGAGAGCGCGACCGCTCGAGCCGCCTCTTTTTTATCGGCCATCCTCCTTTGTTGACTTCATTTACCCCGGCGTTTGTCCGCTAGTGTAATTTAGATGGGGCTTCGGATAGCTGCCGATCTCATTAATCCCGCGGATCGTTACGCCGCGTCGCGCCAGTTAGGGACTCGGTATTTGCCGGGGATGTAATTATTTCACGTCGTTATTACTAAGAGCTCGGTAAAGACTCATTACCGTTCGTGTACCGCGTCTCGATTACAATGTAGTCTCCGACGAGCGCGCAGGTCGACAGCCGGAAAGAATTTCTCGCCCGTAGCGGTTTAATCGCGCATTCTTGCCGGTACGAGATCGAATGAATTCAAATAAAAATTATATTTAATAAAATTATATTTATTCTCGGCGCCAAAACAACATGCACGTAAAGTCGTTATCACTGACACTACAATAACATTGACTAGAAACATAGTTCTCGTTTTTATGGTTAAAATAGAAAAAGGGTATGTTGTCCCCGACTATATTTTTCTCTCGGTGTAATAGTTACCGCCTCGGTACATCCGTCGCGTCTAAGAAAAGAATAAAAGAGAAATTCGACGAACACACACGCACGCATATACACTCACGCAGCACGCTTAGGCAGTCGGTAACAATGCGATTTATTAAAAGACGCTTTATTCAATATTCGTCCGTCGGCTTATTGGATCACCTGCCATTTTGCCGCGAACGAGATATTGTATTTACAAAATTCCCGGGAGGAAAATCTAATACGGCCGGAAAATGTGTCCGCGAGAGAAAGAGAGAAAGAGACGCGGGGAGACGTCGGGGGGATAAGGAGTTCGACGGCACTGTCACCCCCTCGAGTAAATTACATTCCCGGCAAGCCGTATCGGATTATCCTCACGCCGAGGCGAGGATTCGTCTAGACCGTAGGAACTTCGCCATATCGCTGTTCTCGCGCGAGGATAGGAAAGTTTAAAATCTCTCCGCACCACCCTCTCCTTCCACGGTCTCTTCCACCTCTTCTCAGCCGCCAACGGAAGAGTTCCGGACGCGTCTTCCTGCGGATACCATGAGTGAGTTATTCCGTGTCGTCGCAATCTCGCTCCATTCTTGGGAAGCCGATAGAATTTCAGCACGTGTCGCGCGACACGCGGCCAGCCGGCCGACCGGCCGTTTCTCTTATACACGTGGAGAGAACTTCGGCGGATACACGATATCGACCGGGAGCGAACGGCAGCGCGGAGTAATCGAACGTCGTCGTCGTCGTTCGCGAGAGAGTCCGCGAGCGGACCGACTCCAAATTTTCACCCTATGTCAAACCTTTAGTTCTACGATATAATAAGAGCTAAGATAGCGAAATATAGGTCCGATTCTATATTTATTTGTACTTTGGGGCGATGTCTGCAATTGTCATTCTTCTCGCTGTTTTAGCATCGAAATAGATCGTTTCGAATATATACATACTCTCGAAATTTCTTGGAATGAAACCTCAATCGAAAAAGAGAGCGACAACTGAATCACTCGAATTCAAATGTCTTTTCATTCTTACATAGAGTGAATTTTTCACACTGAATCGTCGAATGAATATATTGAGAAACCCATTTTGTTGATTCAACTAAATGGGTTTCTCCGTGTGTACATTCACGAGTAAATTCGACGTATCCCACCATGATAGGAACAAATTCCCTCCGATCGATTGAAACATTCGCCATAGTCGGGATCCACTCTAAACTCGAGAACGAAATATTCACTCTTGCGATTTCGAGCGGCAGTATTTCCACCGTCACTTCGAGTGAAAATACCGCCGCTTTTTCTCGAGTGAGACCAAGAAATTTAGAGAGCGATTCGACCGGGACCGTCCGACTGGTTCCCGAGTGGAATAAAATCGTAGAATCGCGCGAACTGCGCGAAAGCGCGCGATC